CAAAATAATAAAATATATATATAAAACAATAAAAAAAATTCTCACGACGTTTCGACCATAACTCAAACGGTCATCTTCAGGTGTGTTGGTTTGCATAAATTTATTTTTAAAACGGCGCATTTATTTACTTATTAAAAAAACGTTAGCGCCACGCGCAACGATTTGGCAGTTTGCCCAGGACTAGTCCATCTATATTTTGAAAAGAGGACCGTTTGAGTTATGGTCGAAACGTCGTGATAATTTTTTATTGTTATATATATATTTTATTATTTTGTTGTTTCTCTTCAACGTGACTTTACCGAAAAAAACTAAGAATATAACTCCGTGGTTCTTTCGGTAAAGTCACGGAGCTCTTTTGTACCTACGTGGACTATTGGATGATATTGATGCCCCCAGGGTCTGGAATGCTATTGCCAATAAACTGCGACTTGAATCACTACCTGTGAGATGTTCACTCAAAACCGCTCTGGAGGAGTTGTACAACCCCGTAGCTGCCACTGCTTATTCAAGCGGCCTAAAATACGGCTCTAGATTTTGGTGTTATAATTCATTTACGTAGTTTATTGTAAAACAAAAAAAAAATTCGGTCACAGTCCCTATGATCACACTGTTACATTGCATTTATGGCTTTTATTTTGGTGATTTCGAAAACGTTTTTTTTTGGGGGTTTTGGCCATGTTTTTGTTTATTGTAGAACGGAGTTAGACTGATGTCCTTAATCTTAGTTGTCTTAGTTATCATTCGACCTCCTTTGCCAGTATAAACAATGTAATAATTGGGGTTTTTCCCCCTTTTTTCTGGTAACAAAACTGAAACCTTTTGATTTTACAAGGATTCATGTTTACCGCATTAACCACAATACCTGCAGTCAAAATGCAAACAAAAAAACATTACTATGATAATATAATATGTTGTTGTTGTTATTTTGACTTGCATCCCACTGGGATTTTTTTACACACAGCGTTGGTGGTGTGCACGGGGCTGTTTCAGGAATATTTTTGATGTTTTTTTTTTGCAAAGGATTTTCTGTTTGCACAGTCACACATAAAGTCACTTTAAGATGTTTTTCTTGTTCGTGTTTTTTTGTTTGTTGCATTTGTAGTGTTGTAAATATGGACGGATAAACTTCTTTACGAGGCACATTCTGGTTTTAAAGTCTTTCCTCCGACACGGTCTCGAGCACACACAAAGGGTATGGCGGTCCCGTTACCCGATACCTAGGGAGGCACGGCCTCCTGGCTTGGCGGGACCTACTCACTGGTGACCCGCTAGCCTAACGTCCTCCTGGTCTATGCACTGAGCCCCAGATCAGTGTAAGGCTTGGAGCCAGGGTCCTGTCTATCCAGGACTGATTCTCCCCTCTTCGCTGGTCTATACACTGTGCCCCAGCCCTTTAGAAGGGCTGTAAGACTTGGGTCCAGGGTACTGTCTATCCAGGACTGATTCTCTCCTGACCGCTGGTCTACACTGAGCCCCATCCCTCTACAAGGGCTCTAAGACTTGGGTCCAGGGTCCTGTCTATCCAGGACTGATTCTCCACTCACCGCTAGTCTACACTGAGCCCCATCCCTCTACAAGGGCTGTAAGACTTGGGTCCAGGGTCCTGTCTATCCAGGACTGATTCTCCCCTCACCGCTGGTCTACACTGAGCCCCATCCCTCTACAAGGGCTGTAAGACTTGGGTCCAGGGTCCTGTCTATCCAGGACTGATTCTCCCCCTACCGCTGGTCTACACTGAGCCCCATCCCTCTACAAGGGCTGTAAGTCTTGGGTCCAGGGTCCTGTCTATCCAGGACTGATTCTCTCCTGACCGCTGGTCTACACTGAGCCCCATCCCTCTACAAGGGCTCTAAGACTTGGGTCCAGGGTCCTGTCTATCCAGGACTGATTCTCCCCTAACTGCTGGTCTACACTGAACCCAAGCTCTCTACAAGGGCTGTAAGACTTGGGTCCAGGGTCCTGTCTATCCAGGACTGATTCTCCCCTTACCGCTGGTCTACACTGAACCCAATCCTTCTACAAGGGCTGTAAGACTTGGGTACAGAGTTCTGTCTATCCAGGACTGATTCTCCCCCTACCGCTAGTCTATACACTGAGCCCCATCCCTCTACAAGGGCTGTAAGACTTGGGTACAGGGTCCTGTCTATCCAGGACCGATTCTCCCCTGACCAATGGTCTACACTGAGCCCCATCCCTTTACAAGGGCTGTAAGACTTGGGTACAGGGTCCTGTCTATCCAGGACTGATTCTCTCCTTACCGCTGGTCTACGCTGAGCCCCAGCTCTCTACAAGGGCTATAAGACTTGGGTATAGTGTCCTGTCTATCCAGGACTGATTCTCCCCTGACCAATGGTCTACGCTGAGCCCCAGCCCTCTACAAGGGCTGTAAGACTTGGGTACAGGGTCCTGTCTATCCAGGACTGATTCTCCCCCTACCGCTGGTCTACACTGAGCCCCATCCCTCTACAAGGGCTGTAAGACTTGGGTCCAGGGTCCTGTCTATCCACGACCGATTCTCCCCTGACCAATGGTCTACACTGAGCCCCATCCCTTTACAAGGGCTGTAAGACTTGGGTACAGGGTCCTGTCTATCCAGGACCGATTCTCCCCTGACCAATGGTCTACACTGAGCCCCATTCCTCTACAAGGGCTGTAAGACTTTGGTACAGGGTTCTATCTATCCAGGACCGATTCTCCCTTCACCGCTGGTCTACGCTGAGCCCCAGCCCTCTACAAGGGCTGTAAGACTTGGGTCCAGGATCCTGTCTAACCAGGACCGATTCTCCCCTGACCAATGGTCTACACTGAGCCCCATCCCTTTACAAGGGCTGTAAGACTTGGGTACAGGGTCCTGTCTATCCAGGACTGATTCTCCCCTGACCAATGGTCTACACTGAGCCCCATTCCTCTACAAGGGCTGTAAGACTTGGGTCCAGGGTCCTGTCTATCCAGGACAGATTCTCCCCTGACCAATGGTCTACACTGAGCCCCATCCCTCTACAAGGGCTGTAAGACTTGGGTCCAGGGTCCTGTCTATCCAGGACTGATTCTCCCCCTACCGCTGGTCTATACACTGAGCCCCATCCCTCTACAAGGGTTCTTAGACTTGGGTCCAGGGTCCTGTCTATCCAGGACCGATTCTCCCCTCACCGCTGGTCTACACTGAGCCCCATCCCTTTAGAAGGGCTGTAAGACTTGGGTCCAGGGTCCTGTCTATCCAGGACTGATTCTCCCCTCACCGCTGGTCTACACTGAGCCTCAGCCCTCTACAAGGGCTGTAAGACTTGGGTCCAGGGTCCTGTCTATCCAGGACCGATTCTCCCCTGACCAATGGTCTACACTGAGCCCCATCCCTCTACAAGGGCTGTAAGACTTGGGTACAGGGTCCTGTCTATCCAGGACCGATTCTCCCCTCACCGCTGGTCTACACTGAGCCCCATCCCTTTATAAGGGCTGTAAGACTTGGGTCCAGGGTCCTGTCTATCCAGGACCGATTCTCCCCTGACCAATGGTCTACACTGAGCCCCATTCCTCTACAAGGGCTATAAGACTTGGGTCCAGGGTCCTGTCTATCCAGGACTGATTCTCCCCCTACCGCTGGTCTACACTGAGCTCCAGCCCCTTTAGAAGGGCTGTAAGACTTGGGTCCAGGGTCCTGTCTATCCAGGACTGATTCTCCCCCGACCATTGATCTACACTGAGCCCAAGCCCTGTACAAGGGCTCTGAGGCTTGGGTCCAGGGTCCTGTCTATCCAGGACCGATTCTCCCCTGACCAATGGTCTACACTGAGCCCCATCCCTCTACAAGGGCTGTAAGACTTGGGTACAGGGTCCTGTCTATCGAGGACTGATTCTCCCCTTACCGCTGGTCTACGCTGAGCCCCAGCTCTCTACAAGGGCTATAAGACTTGGGTCCAGGGTCCTGTCTATCCAGGACTGATTCTCCCCCTACCGCTGGTCTATACACTGAGTGAGTGAGCCGGTGAAATAGTGGGTGAGTGAATGAGTGGCTGGGTGAGTGACATCGTGATTTTGTGGGTGAGTGAATGGTAGGGTGAGTGAATGAGTGGCTGGGTGAGTGAGCGGGTGAGTGAGCGGGTGAGTGTGTGGGTGAGTGAATAATTGGCTGGGTGAGTGTGTGGGTGAGTGAACGAGTGGCTGGGTGAGTGAACGGGTGAGTGTGTGGGTGAGTGAATGTTTGGGTGAGTGAATGAGTGGCTGGGTGAGTGAGCGTGTGAGTGTGTGGGTGGGTGAATGAGTGGCTGGGTGAGCGAGTGGGTGAGTGAGCGGGTGAGTGAGCGGGTGAGTGAGCAGGTGAGTGAATGACTGGCTGGGTGAGTGAACGGTTGAGTGTGTGGGTGAGTGTGTGGGTGAGTGAATGAGTGGCTGGGTGAGTGAGCGGGTGAGTGTGTGGATGATTGAATGAGTGGCTGGGTGAGTGAGCGGGTGAGTTTGTGGATGAGTGAATGAGTGACTGGGTGAGTGAGCGGGTGAGTGCGTGCGCGAGTGAATGAGTGGCTGGGTGAGTGAGCGGGTGAGTGTGTGGGTGAGTGAATGAGTGGCTGGGTGAGTGTGTGGGTGAGTGAATGAGTGGCTGAGTGAGTGAGCGGGTGAATTAGTGGGTTAGTGAATGAGTGGCTGGGTGAGACAGCGGGTGAGTGAGTGGCTGGGTGAGTGAATGAGTGGCTGGGTGAGTGAGCGGGTGAGTGTGTGGGTGATTGTGTGGGTGAGTGAATGATTGGCTGAGTGAGTGAGCGGGTGAGTGAGCGGGTGAGTGAATGAGTGGCTGGCTGAGTGAGCGGGTGAGTGAGCTGGTGAGTGTGCGGGTGAGTGAGCGGGTGAGTGAGCGGGTGAGTGAATGAGTGAGCGGGTGAGTGAGCTGGTGAGTGGCTGGGTGAGTGGCTGGTTGAGTGGTTGGGTGGCTGGGTGAGTGGCTGGGTGAGTGATTGAGTGAGCTGGCGAGTGAGTGGGTGAGTGGCTGGGTGAGTGACAGAGCTCACCTTGATCATCCGGAGGATCCCCTTGCAGTCGTCTGCGCATGCGCGTCTGATGTTGAAATTTTCCATTGCTGAGAGTGAATGCGAGCTGGGTAGACCGGCACCACTGAACCATTAGGGAGTGATGGCCGAGTGAGCCGCTAGTTTAAGAGGAGCCTAGACACCTGACCCCTAGGATTGACGTGAGAATGACACTTTTATAGCGCTCAAAGACTTGGTGGGCGGGGTCTAGTGAGAGTGGGCGGGGCCTACGGCGGGTGCGTGGGTGGATGGGCGAGTGAGTGGACGGGTGAGTGGGTGGGTTAGTGAGTGAATTCTTGGGTGAGTGGGCGAGTGGATGGGTGAGTGAGTGGGTGAGTGAGTGTTTTAATGGGTGAGTGGATGGGTGAGTGGGTGAGTGAGTGGATCCTTGGGTGAGTGGGCGAATGGATGGGTAAGTGAGTGGGTGGGTGAGTGAGCGAATTAATGGGTGAGTGGGTGAGTGGATAGTTGAGTGAGTGGGTGAGTGAGTGAATTAATGGGTAAGTGGGTGAGTGGATGGGTGAGTGAGTGGGTGAGTGAGTGAATTCTTGGGTGAGTGGGTGAGTGGATGGGTGAGTGAGTGGGTGATTGAGCGAATTAATGTGCGAGTGGGTGAGTGGATGAATGAGTGAGTGGGTGAGTGAGCGAATTAATGGGTAAGTGGGTGAATGGATGGGTGAGTGAGTGGGTGAGTGAGTGAATTCTTGGGTGAGTGGGCGAGTGGATGGGTCAGTGAGTGGGTGAGTGAGCGAATTAATGGGTGAGTGGGTGAGTTGATGGGTGAGTGAGTGGGTGAGTGAGTGAATTAATGGGTGAGTGGGTGAGTGGATGGGTGAGTGGGTGGGTGAGTGAGTGAATTAATGGGTGAGTGGGTGAGTGGATGGGTGAGTGAGTGGGTGAGTGAGTGAATTCATGGATGAGTGGGTGAGTGTATCGGTGAGAGAATGGTTCAGTCAGTGAGTTGATGGGTGAGTGAGTGGGTTAACGGGTGAGTAGGTGAGTGGATGGGTGAGTGAGTGAATTCATGGGTGAATGGGTCAGTGGATGGTTGAGTGAGTGAGTTAATAAATGGGTGAGTGGGTGAGCGGATGGGTGAGTCGGTTAATTAATGGGTGAGTGTATAAATAAGTTAGTGAGTCGAAGAGTAAAGTGGGTGGGTGAATGAGTTTGGGGATGGGTTAGTGAGTGGGTCAATGAATGGGTAAGTGCATGAGTAGGTGAGTGGGTGAGGAATTGAGATGATGGGTTCACGAGTGGATGAGTGGTGGGGTGAATGAGTGGGGGATGGGTGAGTGGCTGAGTGAATGAGTGGATGGGTGAGTGAGTGTGTGGGTCAGTGTGTGGGTAAACGAGTGTATTGGTGAGTGAGAGGGTGGGTGAATGGGTGTGTGGATGAATGAGTTGGTGAGTGAATGGTTGGGTGAGTGAGTTGTTTGCTGAGTGAGTGGGTGGGTGAGTGAATGGGTGAGTGAGTGTGTGAGTGAGTATTTGGGTGAGTGAGTTGGTGAGTGGGTGGTTGGGTGAGTGAGTAGGTGGTTGAGCGGATGGGTGACTGAGTGTGTGGGTGAGTGAGTGTGTGGGTGAGTGAGTTCGTGAGTGGGTGGGTGGTTTGGTTAGTGAATGGTTAGGTGAATGAGTGAGTGGGTGCATGAGCGGATGGGTGACTGATTGTGTGGGTGAGTGAGTGTGTTGGTGAGTGAGTTGGTGAGTAGCTGGTTGGGTTAGTGAGTGTGTGAGTGGTTGGGTGAATGAGTGGGTGAGTGAGTGTGTGGGTGAGTGAGTTGGTGAGTGGGTGGGTGGTTGGGTTAGTGAGTGGTTAGGTGAATGAGTGAGTGGGTGGATGAGCGGATGGGTGACTGAATGTGTGGGTGACTGAGTGTGTGGGTGAGTGAGTGTGTGGGTTACTGACTTGGTGAGTGCATGGTTGGGTGAGTGAGTGGTTGGGTGAGTGAGATGGTGAGTGGCTGGTTGGGTGAGTGAGTGAGTGGTTGGTTGAGTGAGTGAGTGTGTGGGTGAGTGAGTTGGTGAGTGGCTGGTTGGGTGAGTGAGTGAGTGAGTAGGTGAGTGGTTGGGTGAATGTGTGGGTGAGTGAGTGGGTGAGTGGCTGGTTGGATGAGTTCGTAAATGAGTGTTTGGGTGAGTGAGTTGGTGAGTGAGTGGTTGGGTGAGTGAGTGGCTGTTTGGGTGAGTGAGTGAGTGAGTCGTTGAGTGAGTGAGTGAGTGGTTGGGTGAGTGAGTTGGTGAGTGGCTGGTTGGGTGAGTGAGTGGTTGGGTGAGTGAGTTGGTGAGTGATTGTTTGGGTGAGTGAGTGAGTGAGTGAATGAGTGAGTGGCTGTTTGGGTGAGTGAGTGAGTGATTTTCTGATTGGCTGGTTGGTGGAGTGTGTGGGTGAGTGGTTGGGTGAGTGAGTGGGTGAGTGATTGTTTGGGTGAGTGTGTGGGTGAGTGGTTGGGTGAGTGAGTGGGTGAGTGAGTGGTTGGGTGAGTGAGTGAGTGGGTGAGTGAGTGGTTGGGTGAGTGAGTGGGTGGTTGGGTTTGTGAGTGAGTGGTTGGGTGAGTGAGTGAGTGGGTGAGTGGTTGGGTGAGTGAGTGAGTGAGTGGGTGGTTGGGTTTGTGAGTGAGTGGGTGAGTGAGTGAGTGGTTGGGTGAGTGAGTGAGTGAGTGGGTGAGTGAGTGAGTGGGTGAGTGGGTGAGTGAGTGAGTGGTTGGGTGAGTGAGTGAGTGGGTGAGTGAGTGAGTGGGTGAGTGGTTGGGTGAGTGAGTGAGTGGGTGAGTGATTGGTTGGGTGAGTGAGTGAGTGGGTGAGTGAGTGGTTGGGTGAGTGAGTGAGTGGGTGAGTGAGTGGTTGGGTGAGTGAGTGAGTCTTTGGGTGAGTGAGTGAGTGGTTGGTCGAGTGAGTGAGTGGGTGAGTGAGTGAGTGAGTGGGTGAGTGAGTGAGTGGTTGGGTGAGTGAGTGAGTGGGTGAGTGAGTGAGTGAGTGGGTGAGTGGTTCGGTGAGTGAGTGGGTGAGTGAATGAGTGGTTGGGTGAGTGGTTGGGTGAGTGAGTGGGTGAGTGATTGAGTGGTTGGGATGAGTGAGTGGTTGGGTGAGTGAGTGGGTGAGTGAGTGAGTGGGTGAGTGGTTGGGTGAGTGAGTGGGTGAGTGAATGAGTGGTTGGGTGAGTGAGTGGTTGGGTGAATGATTCAAAGCTACCTTTACCTTTCACTCCAGTGCAAACATCAACCAGCTAAGTGGAGGCATGCGATTCTTTACAAGTGCATTGAATACCCGGAAAATTGTATCACCTGGCAATAACACGCACACACAACTACAGACACAACTACACACACACAACTACACACACACACACCTACACACACACAACTACACACACACCTACACACACACACAGCTACACACACACCTACACACACACACAACCACACACACCTAAACACACACACAAGATCCCCCGTGTAGCCTCAACAGACTGTAGGGGCAAGTGCTGTTAGCGAGCACCTATGAAGGCCGGAACGGTACACGAGGGGGTGAGTGGCCAGCACCACGCCCGGCCGCCTTTGTCTCCCCAGTAGCGATGTTTACTACACACCGCTACACTAGGTACTTATTTGAGGCTGAGTCGACCTAGGGGAAGCCCAGGACCGGTTCAGATAATCGTCACTGGTGGTGTTGGTCGCCAGGTTCGTAACGCAGCGTAGTGCTAACCACTACACTACCGGTACCCACACACACACACAGACACACACACTAACACCACACATACCACACACACACACAGCACACACACACCACACACACACACCACACACACCACACACACACACCACACACACACCACACACACCACACACACACACACCACACACACCACACACACCACACCACACACACCACACACACACGACAAAGCAAAGCAACGGGAAGCGAAGAATTTCAATTCCGTGAGCGAGGAGGAGAGGAGTGGGAACTGGGCCACTTCTCAAAAGGCCCTTTGCCCCTTGACAGCCGCGTGGGAAGATCAAACAGAGATCGACGTTCCGCCACCACCACCACGACCACCACCACCACCGCCAACACAGCCACCACCATCGCCACCATCACCATCGCCACCACCAACACCAACACCACCACCGCGGCAGATGAAAGGGAGCGACTCCACTCGGTTGTGAAACGCCGCAGCTTGAAACGTGGAAGTGGTGGGACAGGTGAGAGGAGCGGGCAGGCAGGCGGTGCCTCAGGGTTTCGGATTCATTGTGAAGAGCCGTGGGTTCCGGCTGATAGCAAGATACACATACACACACAGAGATACGCACATAGAGATACACATACACTCATAGAGATAATACAGACACGCATAGAGATACACACATAGAGATACACAGACACTCATAGAGATACACATAACACATAGAGATACATAGACACGCATAGAGATACACAGACACACATAGAGATACACAGACACGCATAGAGATACACACATAGAGATACACAGACACTCCTAGAGATATACAGACACTCATAGAGATACACAGATACTCATAGAGATACACAGACACGCATAGAGATACTCACATAGAGATACACAGACACTCATAGAGATACACATAACATATAGAGATAAATAAACACGCATAGAGATACATATACACACATAGAGATACACAGATACTCATAGAGATACGCACATAGAGATACACATACACACACAGAGATACGCACATAGAGGTAAACATACACTCATAGAGATAATACAGACACGCATAGAGATACACACATAGAGATACACATACACACATAGAGATACACAGACACTCATAGAGATACACAGACACTCATATAGATACATTGACACTCATAGAGATACACATACACACATAGAGATACATAGACACTCATAGAGATACACACACTCATATAGATACATTGACACTCATAGAGATACACATACACACATAGAGATACATAGACACTCATAGAGATACACACATAGAGATACACAGACACTCAAACAGATACACAGACACTCATAAATATACACAGACACTCACAGAGATACACAGACAATCACAGAGATACACAGACACTCACAGACACTCTTAGAGATACACAGACACTTAGCGACACTCATAGAGATATACAGAC